CCACAGACCACTACCCTACTTTTCCTCATAACAACTCTTGGTAAACTACCCCAAGACACTACTAAAGTCACCTTCAGACTTCACAATGAGGCAGCCATTAATAACTTCACAACAGCAATAGCAAACATGAATTGGCACACTGAGCTAGAAACCTAAACAGATATTGACGAATGTATTAATAATTTTCTAAAAAAACCCAATACCTCTATAACAACACTGCCCTAAAAAACTAAACAGATGACAGCAAAGAGACTGAACAGTCCCTGGCTAACACCCAGCATTCTCAAATCCATAAATACAAAACACCAATATGAAAAACAGTACAGAATGGGTCACATAACCAGAGACCAAACAAAACGTTACTCGTCAATCCTAACCAGCCTGATAAGAAGGGCAAAAAAATTGTATTATGAGAACAGATTATCCAACTTACGAGGTGATATAAAAAAGACCTGGAAAACCCTATCAAATTCTGGGAACAAAAAAGATATCACGAAATAGCGAAATAAAATTAGCAAAAACAGATGAACCCCAACTCCCACCAACAGAAACAGCAAACAGACTCAATGATTTCTTCTCCACTATAGGACAAAACCTTGCCAATAAAATCCCAAGCTCAGATACCCCACCAAATGACTACCTCACCGGCAACTACCCGAACACACTGTTCCTAGCTCCGACTAACCCATACGAAGTCTCCCTTATTATCAACGCACTAAAAAACAAGGCAGGAGATTTAAATACCTTACCACCCCTTATATACAAAAAGTGTCACAAGTGCTATCACCAATCATTGCAACACTCTTTAACAAATCCATTGAATCCTCCACCTTCCCTACAGTACTCAAAATAGCAAGGGTCACCCCGATCCACAAAGGAGGAGACCAAACAGAGTTGAATAACTATAGGCCAATATCCAACTTACACCCTCCTCAAAAATCTTCGAAAAATTAATTCATAAACGAATCTACTCCTACCTTATCTCCCAAAACATACTCAACCCCTGCCAATTTGGATTCAGGCCTAATAAAAAATACTAATGATGCTATTATACACATGCTAGAACATATATACACTGCAATAGAGAAAAAAGAAGTCCCACTGGGATCTTCATTGACTTACGTAAAGCTTTTGATACAGTTGACCATGACTTGCTCCACGTAAAATTGTCACACATGGTATAAGGGGGCACTCCCTCAACTACCTCAAGTTTTAAACCTCACCCAACAGAAAGCCAATATGTGTACGCAAATGGGGGCAAACTCTTCTGCACAACCAATTACAGTTGGTGCCCACGGGAAGTTCCTTGGCCCTCTTCTCTTTCTCCTATACATAAATGACCTTCCAAATGCTTCGCAATTACTCAAACCCACACTATTTGCAGATGACACTACATACGTCTTCTCCCCACCCGACCCCCAGTCACGCTAGCCAATACTGTAAATACCGAATTACAGAAAATATTCCCTGGATTGAGGACTAACAAACTTACACTAAACATTGACAAAACCTACTTCATTCAGTTTGGTAACAGAGCTACAGATGTCCCTCTTAACATAATGATAAATGGATCACCTATCAAAAAAACTAACAGAGGGAAAATTCTTAGGAATCCACCTTGATAATAGACTCAAATTTCATACACATATACATCAAATTTCTAAGAAAATTTCCCAAAACTGTAGGCATACTATCGAAGATACGGTACTATGTTCCACAGTCAGCCCTCCTGGCCCTAAAAATCACTCTCTTATTTACCCCTATCTCACCTATGGAATTTGTGCATGGGGCTCAACAACAATTAACCATCTCAGACCACTAATTACCCAACAAAAGCTGCAGTTAGAAATGATAACAAATTCCTCACTACAGGCAGCACACTCCACCAATATTTAATTCACTAACCACTCACCAACAAAACATCCATACTTATTACTGCACCATTCATACTAGAACACTAACTCTATATTAACCCCCCCTCAAACATCTCCTTGCCAACCTCAACAGAACACATGACCATAACAAAGGCACAATCACTCTTGATGTCCTCGTGTCCATCTCACACTATGGCAAAAAAACTCAATGCACATTTAAAAAGGGCCCCAAAATCTGGAATTCATTACCTGTAAATATAAAAGAAACACAACCTGTTTATAAATTCAAGTCTCTTCTCAAAGATTACTTACTCACCCCAAAACCAAATAAATACTGAATAACTGAACATTATAAATTGTATATCTTAAATGTTTCTCACAATTATATCACATAAATGTTAAACCTAAAACCCAATCTAACTTTATTATTTTTTAAATACACTACCTAACAGAATCACTACCTAACTGAATGCAACCATATGACCTGTCTTTGTAATACTCACTTGTGCTTTATAGTTATCTGTTTACATTAATGTTTTATCACTGATTTCATCATTGCTTAGTAGCAGCGCTGTATAGTCCTTGTGGCTTAGCGCTTCTTTTTGATTATAATAATAATAATAATCATTGCTTAGTTAATCTTAAGTTAATTTTAAGCCAGCCCGTAATGCTATGCATAGTATAAATGGCTTTGGCATACTGCTCTTATCTGTATTTTTTTTGTACCTCTGTATGTGTGCACAAATTGGAAATAAATAAATAAATAAATAAATAAATAGCCAGTTCAGGAAAAGCGCTAAAAGGTACCTAATGAATGAAGCCACAGAAAGGGAGGACAGTGATTTCTTGTATAATTAACACTCATGTACCTGTTATTGTAAGTCGATCCTTTTTTAATGTTCATGTAAATAACTCGGTTCACTTTATTTCTGTTGTATCTCTACTGTAATTAATTTTGTAGAAAATCACGCAACTTTAGATTTTCCAGACCGTTAACCCTCCCTAAGTTGGGCGGAGAGGAAGGGGGGACGAGCCGACCCACGTATGTCTATGGTTGGTGCAACATGCTTTCATTCTTTATACACTCTTATTTTGTAAGACTTAATCTAGTAATGAAGCCTCTATAGGTTAATGTACTATACTCTACTATTTATACGTATTTAAGCTAAGTTAGAGTTAGATATAACTAAGTTTCTATAACAGCTCTCACAACCTACACAATTATAGATAGTAGGCACGCCCGCAGTCCACCAGTGCCCACGGGGTATGCGGAGAACCGGCTACCCGGGACGTCACACACGAAACTTTAATGGGTGACACAGGGTTTGTGCAGTGAAGTACTCTAACATTCAATAACACATTATGACCCGGATTAGATACATTTCGCCCCAGTCCAGGCTGAGGGACTGACAACCTCAAATCTATGACTTCAAGGGTGATGGACTGATTACATCGTCTTCACATCTCTACTGTTCCTGCCTTCCTTCTGTACTCGACTGAAGAAGCCTACTGTGTAGGCAAAACGTTTCGGAATAAAGTTGCCTAAATGTGTCTTATCTACCAACCTGTCGGTATTGTATACCATTTTGATATTCAGAAATAAGTCACTTGACATTTGTGAGTTATGCTACGTAATTTACACATATGTATAATAATTGTAATCACCTGGAGTTTACCTGGAGAGAGTTCCGGGGGTCAACGCCCCCGCGGCCCGGTCTGTGACCAGGCCTCCTGGTGGATCAGAGCCTGATCAACCAGGCTGTTGCTGCTGGCTGCACGCAAACCAACGTACGAGCCACAGCCCGGCTGATCCGGAACTGACTTTAGGTGCTTGTCCAGTGCCAGCTTGAAGACTGCCAGGGGTCTGTTGGTAATCCCCCTTATGTGTGCTGGGAGGCAGTTGAACAGTCTCGGGCCCCTGACACTTATTGTATGGTCTCTTAACGTGCTAGTGACACTCCTGCTTTTCATTGGGGGATGGTGCATCGTCTGCCAAGTCTTTTGCTTTCGTAGTGAGTGATTTTCGTGTGCAAGTTCGGTACTAGTCCCTCTAGGATTTTCCAGGTGTATATAATCATGTAACTCTCCCTCCTGCGTTCCAGGGAATACAGGTTTAGGAACCTCAAGCGCTCCCAATAATTGAGGTGTTTTATCTCCGTTATGCGCGCCGTGAAAGTTCTCTGTACATTTTCTAGGTCGGCAATTTCACCTGCCTTGAAAGGTGCTGTTAGTGTGCAGCAATATTCCAGCCTAGATAGAACAAGTGACCTGAAGAGTGTCATCATGGGCTTGGCCTCCCTAGTTTTGAAGGTTCTCATTATCCATCCTGTCATTTTTCTAGCAGATGCGATTGATACAATGTTATGGTCCTTGAAGGTGAGATCCTCCGACATGATCACTCCCAGATCTTTGACGTTGGTGTTTCGCTCTATTTTGTGGCCAGAATTTGTTTTGTACTCTGATGAAGATTTAATTTCCTCGTGTTTACCATATCTGAGTAATTGAAATTTCTCATCGTTGAACTTCATATTGTTTTCTGCAGCCCACTGAAAGATTTGGTTGATGTCCGCCTGGAGCCTTGCAGTGTCTGCAATGGAAGACACTGTCATGCAGATTCGGGTGTCATCTGCAAAGGAAGACACGGTGCTGTGGCTGACATCCTTGTCTATGTCGGATATGAGGATGAGGAACAAGATGGGAGCGAGTACTGTGCCTTGTGTAACTGTACTTACGTGTACTTGTACCTAAATAAACTTACTTTTGAGCAAAATTTAAATGATTTGTATAACTTATGTAATGAAAATTATTTCCTTCAGTTAATATCCAGATGGCACCCAGGTGGTTCAAGAATATAAGAAACACTATCAGTACTCATGTTTATAGTATGGCACAATTTATGTTTATCGACTACTAATATGTGCCATTTTCTTATAACATCAGTAATATTTACGAAGAAATATGCAGTAATGAAAGCTACTCAATTTAGCCCAATCTGTAAGAGTTTTTTCTTGACCAGTAAGCTAAATATTCAGCACCGTTCACACACATGTACATGTGTGTGTGACTAAAGAAAAATATTCATAGTAAAATACTAAGTTACAAGAGAGTATGTGAGAAGAGTCTTACCGCAGATCCCTGAGAAGGGTAACAGATGAGAAGACAGCAGGGTCACATCCCTGGGGTCGTGGCCCTGACCCCTCCATCCTGGCCTCGTCAGTGCCTAAGCCAGAATCATCGTCACCACCGCTGTCGCCCCCACCGTCCTCTCCTCCCTCACTCTCCCCGCTGCTTGAAGTTGCTACATACAATAATTCAAGAAAACATTAATGTGAGAGAAGGCATGCATGCATGCCTTAGTTTGTGTGCGTATACCTGTGTTTATTGTGATGGGTTGGAATCTCTGGTGTATGTTTGTCTGTGTATACTTACCTAGTAGTGTTTACAGAGATCGAATTCTAGCTTCATGTGAGGTTGAGGTTCAGCCTCACTCTTAAATTTACCTTTCATTAAATTATTTTATCCTATTTATAATGGAATCTACGCATAGAGTTAGTCAGATTCTGCTGCTTTTGTGTTCCAACTCTATCAGGATCTTGTATTAAGGTGAAGCCATGTTTCCTGTTTTCTCTGACTCGACTGTTTCTTCAGCTATTGTGTCCCTTTGTCCTTGATCCTTCTGGAGTATTTTATGTAATGATAAGATAAGATAGGAGATAAAATTTCGTTCGGATTTTTAACCCCGGAGGGTTAGCCACCCAGGATAACCCAAGAAAGTCAGTGCGTCATCGATGACTGTCTAACTTATTTCTATTGTGATCCTCAATCTTGTCCACCAGGATGCAACCCACACCAGTCGACTAATACCCAGGTACCTATTTGCTGCTAGGTGAACATGACAACAGGTGTAAGGAAACGTGTCGAAATGTTTCCACCCGCCGGAAATCGAACCCGGGCCCTCCGTGTTCAATTCCCGACGGGTGGAAACATTTCGACACGTTTCCTTACACCTGTTGTCCTGTTCACCTAGCAGCAAATAGGTACCTGGGTGTTTCTCTTCTTGAGCAGTGTTCAGTTATCCAGTCTCATCGCCCTCACTATATTTACTTCACTCTGGCTCCTCCACACCCCTTATTCTAGCACTAAATGCTTAGGGGCTGTATGTTATGGCCTCCTTCCTTCTCGATCTGGTCACATTTTTTTTTAGGTATCTCCAAAGAGGTACCTCTAAATGGTTGCCTGAATATTTTTAGTCCTCTAATTTTATCGTGTACCACTTGAGAATGCCTCATCCGGTCGGCTTCAAATTTTCAATATTCGTGTATTATAATTAACAAAAGGTTTATGTAACTACTGACGTGTGTTTGTGTCCTGTGGTCAGATTTATGTAGACCTTTACCTTGTACATATACTTGTAGTAAATAAAGATATATTATTATTATTATTATTATTATTATTATTATTATTATTATTATTATTATATAGTTATATTAATTTGTTTCCGTGCAGCAGTATGAGAAAGTCACTTGTGATCGGTTTTAAACTCTCGAAGCTGAGGTATATTCAAATTCAAATTCAAATTCAAAGTTTATTCTCTATAAGGATTACAATGTTCAGTTTACAGAAATTTGGTTATTGTGTGGTTTACATGTAGTAAAATAGTGATTACAGAGTGTACCACTAGAACGCTTAGCATGGCTAGGCATTTCGGGCAGACTTAGTTTTATTCTTAATTGTAAAATATTACAAATTATGAGGTAAGTTGGTATTATGGCTAAGTGACTAAATACTAGTTTGTGAGTTTAGCAATGTGAATGCTTTTGTTTTAGCACAGTACATAGTTTCAGTATTACTTAGAATAAGGTTAGAGTTAGTATCGGAGTGTGCAAGTGTATTTGTCGGTTTCATTTTTAAAAATAGTATTAATTAAAGAACAAAAAAGCACAAAACCGTAACTGGAACAGTATATAAATAACCGGAACATAGAGAGGACCCTACAACGACGTTTCGGTCTGACTTAGACCATTTACAAAGTCACATTGACTTTGTAAATGGTTTAACTCGGACCAAAACGTCGTCGTAAGCTTATCTCTCCTATGTGCGGGTTATTTGTGTATTGTATAGTTTACCTGAAATAACGTGAGTATGGGTTTTCTGAAAGGCCTCATTATCTTCCAGACAGAATGACGTCTAACAGGCTTAGGGTTTGTTGATGCAAATTTGCCATTTTCTAACTGTTAATAAATTCTGAATGGCTGGAATGTAATAACTGATTCTGAGCCACCAGGAAATCCGCTAGATTTCCATCTTGATTTTATGCCCTGTGATAAATAAATAACTTTTGTATTCATATCATACAATTGTATTCATCATCGTACTTCAAGTACTTCGAGGGAGTTCTTCAGGTACTTCGAGGGAGTACTTCAGGTACTTCGAGGGAGTTCTTCAGGTACTTCGAGGAAGTACTTCAGTACATTCGAGGGAGTTCTTCAGGTACTTCGAGGGAGTTCTTCAGGTACTTCGAGGGAGTACTTCAGGTACTTCGAGGGAGTTCTTCAGGTACTTCGAGGAAGTACTTCAGGTATTCGAGGGAGTTCTTCAGTACTTCGAGGGAGTTCTTCAGTACTCGAGGGAGTACTTCAGTACTTCGAGGGAGTTCTTCAGGTACTTCGAGGGAGTACTTCAGGTACTTCGAGGGAGTTCTTCAGGTACTTCGGGGGAAGTACTTCAGGTACTTCGAGGGAGTTCTTCAGGTACTTCGAGGGAGTACTTCAGGTACTTCGAGGAAGTACTTCAGGTACTTCGAGGGAGTTCTTCAGGTACTTCGAGGGAGTACTTCAGGTACTTCGAGGGAGCACTTCAGGTACTTCGATGGAGTACTTCAGATACTTCGAGGGAATACTTCAGGTACTTCGAGGGAGTACTTTGGGTACTTCGAAGGAGCACTTCGGGTATATCGAGGGAGCACTTCGGGTACTTCGAGGGAGTATTTCGAGTACCTCGAGGGAGCACGTCGAGTACCTCGAGGGAGACAACTTAAACTAGTTGATTAGGTAAGCCCACATATTTTTTATCGTGGTAGGCAGGGAACTTTTTGATAGAACCTCGTACTTGCAGTTCTGCCAGAAGAACTTTGTAATCTCCTAGTTTTAAACATTAGGTGAAGTTTGCCTGGTTCATCATATTTCATATGAGTTCTCAGCGTTCACTAGGGGAAGATCATTGTTGCACCATTAACTAACAATTCTCCCGTCTCCCAGTAACTGATGTTCCTCAGATTTAGGAGTTTTACACACATTCTATTTGGAACCAGCGTCGTCCTCGTCACGATAGTTATTGTAACCCTATTAATGTCGTCGTGCTCTTACCTTGGTCATCTCTTATTTCACTAAGTTGTATAATTCTACTACATATGCACATTTAATATGTATGTCTGCATATGATGGATGTTTATGTATGCTGTAATGGATGTGTGGACAAAGTGTATATCTTCTACCATTCTTACAGAGCATAAAAATATGATTATTTTATGGGTGGCACTGTAAATAATAATGTTCAGTCACTAGTGAATTTAATACACCAAGAATGACTGGGGGGGGGGTTATTACACTCTGATCTCAGGTCAACTTAAGTGGCAGCCCACCTGAGTGAGGACGAGCGAGGCCAGGTGTAGGACAAGACTCATAGTAGCGGGTGAGCTGGGACTCGAACTGGGCATTGTCCGTGAGCAGGTAAGTGAAAGCCCGGTCCACCTCCTCCTCCAGGTGGGTCAGACTCTCTTGTTCCCGCTCGTACTCCTCCAGTCTTTGGCGAATTGCTACCACCTGAAGAGAGAGTGAGTCAACACCGGGTTAGGATGTATTGGGGAGAAGATGAGGGCCGGGTGAAATGAGATGTGGAGAAGACGAAGACAAAATGAGGATCAGGCGACAGCCTGATGGAAGAAGTAAAGATAAGGAATAAGGGACAATATTGCAAGAATAACGAGAAGAGACTACCAAAAGAGGAGGAGGAGTAATGTAAGAGTTACATAAATTATGGAAAACAATTCTATAAATATAATGACAATACACAAACATAAAAGTCCATATTAGCCGAGATACAGATACAAATCTATAGCTGACTCACGAAATCGAATGACACGATTGCAAACAAACCAAGGTGCGGGTGGCTTTGAGGAGACTTGAGCTAGAGCTCGTCACGGCCACGTGGGCGGGAGATTCATCTGTAAAAACTTGCATTTGTGGTCACAGTGGTGCCTATACTAACCTTCATATGGCGTATAAATATACCTTATCTTATTGTAGCCAGCTGCCCCAGTGGCTAACACGTCGGTCAGTAGTTTTAAGACTCTCTAACCGCGGGTTCAAGCCCCGCCCGTACCTTGGTTTACAAATGTATAAAGTATGTTAGAGAGTTAAACTTTTATAAAGATGGATTAGTGTTGCAGAACTCTCACCCTGTGTTGCAGAACTCTTACCCTGTGTTGCAGAACTCTCGCCCTGTGTTGCAGAGCTCTTACACCTGTGTTGAGAAACTCTCGGCTTTGTGTTGCAGAACTCTCACACGTGTTCAGAAACTCTTACCCTGTTGTTGCAGAACTCTGCCCTGTGTTGCAGAACTCTCACCCTGTGTTGCAGAACTCTCGCCCTGTGTTGCAGAACTCTTACCCTGTGTTGCAGAACTCTCGCCCTGTGTTGCAGAACTCTCACCTTGGGTTGCAGACTCTCACCCTTGTGTGCAGAACTCTCACCTTGTGTTGCAGAACCTCACTTGTGTTCCCAGAACTCTCACCTGTGTTGCAGAACTCTCACCCTGTGTTGCAGAACTCTCACCCTTGTTGCGACCTCACCCGTGTTGCGAACTCTCACCCTGTGTTTCAGAACTCTCACCCTGTGTTCAGAACTCTCACCTTGTGTTGCAGAACTCTACACCCTGTGTTGCAGAACTCTCACTCTGTGTTGCAGAACTCTCGCCGTGTTGCAGAACTCTCACCCTGTGTTGCAGAACTCTCACCCTGTGTTGCAGAACTCTCACCCTGTGTTGCAGAACTCTCACCCTGTGTTGCAGAACTCTCACCCTGTGTTGCAGAACTCTCACCTTGTGTTGCAGAACTCTCACCCTGTGTTGCAGAACTCTCACCCTGTGTTGCAGAACTCTCACCCTGTGTTGCAGAACTCTCACCTTGTGTTGCAGAACTCTCACCCTGTGTTGCAGAACTCTCACTTTGTGTTGCAGAACTCTCACCCTGTGTTGCAGAACTCTCACCCTGTGTTGCAGAACTCTCGCCCTGTGTTGCAGAACTCTCACCCTGTGTTGCAGAACTCTCACCTTGTGTTGCAGAACTCTCACCCTGTGTTGCAGAACTCTCACCTTGTGTTGCAGAACTCTCACCTTGTGTTGCAGAACTCTCACCCTGTGTTGCAGAACTCTCGCCCTGTGTTGCAGAACTCTCACCTTGTGTTGCAGAACTCTCACCCTGTGTTGCAGAACTCTCGCCCTGTGTTGCAGAACTCTCACCCTGTGTTGCAGAACTCTCACCTTGTGTTGCAGAACTCTCACCCTGTGTTGCAGAACTCTCACCCTGTGTTGCAGAACTCTCACCTTGTGTTGCAGAACTCTCACCCTCTGTTGCAGAGCTCTCACCCTGTGTTGCAGAACTCTCACCTTGTGTTGCAGAACTCTCGCCCTGTGTTGCAGAGCTCTCACCCTGTGTTGCAGAGCTCTCACCCTGTGTTGCAGAACTCTCGCCCTGTGTTGCAGAACTCTCACTTTATGCTGCAGAACTCTCACCCTGTGTTGCAGAACTCTCACCCTGTGTTGCAGAACTCTTACCCTGTGCTGCAGAACTCTCACCCTGTGTTGCAGAACTCTTACCCTGTGCTGCAGAACTCTCACCCTGTGGTGCAGAACTCTTACCCTGTGTTGCAGAACTCTCACCCTGTGTTGCAGAACTCTTACCCTGTGCTGCAGAACTCTCACCCTGTGTTGCAGAACTCTTACCCTGTGCTGCAGAACTCTCACCCTGTGTAGCAGAACTCTCACCCTGTGTTGCAGAACTCTTACCCTGTGCTGCAGAACTCTCACCCTGTGTTGCAGAACTCTTACCCTGTGTTGCAGAACTCTCACCCTGTGTCGCGAACTCTTACCCTGTCTGCAGAACTCTTCCACTGGGGTTGCAGAACTCTTTCCCTGTGTGCTGCAGAACTCCACATGTTCGAAAACTCTCATACCTGTGTTGCAGAACTCTCACCTTGTGTTGCAGAACTCTCACCCTGTGTTGCAGAGCTCTCACCCTGTGTTGCAGAACTCTCACCATGTGTTGCAGAGCTCTCACCATGTGTTGCAGAGCTCTCACCTTGTGTTGCAGAACTCTCACCCTGTGCTGCAGAACTCCCACCCTGTGTTGCAGAAGTCCCACCCTGTGTTGCAGAACTCTCACCTTGTGTTGCAGAACTCTCACCTTGTGTTGCAGAACTCTCACCCTGTGTTGCAGAGCTCTCACCCTGTGTTGCAGAGCTCTCACCATGTGTTGCAGAACTCTCACCGTGTGTTGCAGAACTCTCACCCTGTGTTGCAGAACTCTTATCCTGTGCTGCAGAACTCTCACCCTATGTTGCAGAACTCTCACCTTGTGTTTCACTTCCTGTTGCTCATTAATCCTCTCCTTCAGCGCCTCCCTCAGCTTCCTCTCCGTGTCCCTGTACTTCACCCTCACGCCCACCGCCCGCACCAACTGCCCCGCCCTCAGCACCGCCCACGCCAGCCGCCCACGCTCCACCACCACTTGTTGCTCACACTTGTGAAGGATATCCTCCACTTCCTGTGCTGCCTGCTGCAGTGGCTCAGGAACCTGCCGGGGAGCACCTCATTATCACCACCTACCAGGGAGCACCTCATTACCACCACCTGCCAGGAAGCACCTCATTACCACCACCTGCCAGGGAGCACCTCATTACCACCACCTGCCAGGGAGCACCTCATTACCACCACTGCCAGGAGCACCTCATTACCACCACCTGTCAGGGAGCACCTCATTACCATCACCTGCCAGGAAGCACCTCATTACCACCACCTGCCAGGAGCACCTCATTACCACCACCTGCCAGGGAGCACCTCATTACCACCACCTGCCAGGGAGCACCTCATTACCACCACCTGCCAGGAAGCACCTCATTACCACCACCTGCCAGGGAGCACCTGATTACCACCACCTGCCAGGAAGCACCTCATTACCACCACCTGCCAGGGAGCACCTCATTACCACCACCTGCCAGGAAGCACCTCATTACCACCACCTGCCAGGGAGCACCTCATTACCACCACCTGAGTGTGGGTATGAGAGTCATGTGCAAGGTGGTGCGTATGATGTCAGGTTTGGATCGACAGCTATTTTTTAAGGGGCCCCCAAGACTTTTACTGACGACATACAAATTTCGTGAGGGTGGCCAAGAGATGTAGCATAACATTACAGTGGATTGATAGATAATTGGTACACTGTGAAGGCGATAGAGTGAAAGTTGAGGATTAAATTATGAAATATATGGTGTTATGTCTCTCTTCTGATGTTTCGATAATGGAGGGCCCAAGAGCTTTAGCATACAGGAACTATATTATATGGGACAGATACTTAAAGGTCGGTGCCGGATCAGCCGGGCTTTGGTTCGTATGTTGGACTATGTGCGGCCAGCAGTAACAGCCTGGTTGATCAGGCCCTGATCCATCGGGAGGCCTGGTCGTGGCCCGGGCCGCGGGGGCGTTGATCCCCGGAATACCCTCCAGGTAGATTCCAGGTAGAAGTTAGTGATGCTGAGTAGTAAAGGGGCCAGGAGCTACAACATAACAGTGATAGTGAGAGTGAGTAATCTGAAGAGTGATAATAACTAAAACTCATTACTAACGCTAGTGACGGGATGTGTATCAGAGTAGTGAAGGGGGACCAAGAGCTATAGCACAACAAGTTAGGGAGGAGTATGGTGATTTTTTTTTTCTTTAGATTCAGTCTTGGTTGACTAGCGTCGCTAACTCTGCTAAAACTTACTGTGTTTGTTACAACTGACAAACTAACTACACGACACTGGGCTCAATGATTTCAAAAAAATATCTGAAATCTGAGATTCTAAGTTAAGCATATTTAAAATTAACGAAACTTAACACTGAGATTTTTTTGCAAGTTATGTGAAAACCAATGTTTGATTAACTTAAGCTGGTGAGGATGTTTACCCTGGAGACTCACCTGGGTTAGTAAGGTGAGGTAGGTGGTGCGTGCACGCTGGATTTGTTGGACCTGGCTTAGGGTGAGGCAGGGGCGAGGGGCAGGGGGCGGCTTGGGGGTTTCACGCACACTGCGCCGCCCACGACCACTTCGTTGGGTCTTGGTTGTATGTGGAGTGGTTGATGCGGTGGTGCGGGAGTCTCTGGTTGTATGTAGGGTCTTCCCTGTCCTGGCAGCCCGAGGTGATCCACACAAACTTAAAGGTGGCACCATCTAAAACATCAACAACACACATCTACATCAAGAAAATTACTTAAGGGTGCAAAATGTATATACAACAACCACACACACACACACACACACACACACACACACACACACACATACACACAGGGGGACTACACAGGTATGAGGAACTTCCTACGGGAGGTGCAGTGGGACAGAAATGGTAGGAAAGTCAGTAAATGAAATGATGGAATATGTAACAACAAAATGCAAGGAGGCAGAGGAAAGGTTTGTTCCCAAGGGCAACAGAAACAATGGGAAGACCAAAGCGAGTCCTTGGTTTACCCGAAGGTGCAGGGAGGCAAAAAGTAAGTGCGTTAGAGAATGGAAGAGGTATAGCAGGCAAGGGACCCAGGAAAACAAGGAGATCAGTCGAAGAGTCAGAACCGAGTATGCACAGATAAGGAGGGAGGCCCAGCGACAGTACGAAAACGACATAGCATCGAAAGTCAAGTCTGACCCGAAACTGCTGTTAAGCCATATTAGGAGGAAGACAACAGTCAAAGACCAGGTGATCAGGCTGAGGAAAGAAGGTGGGGAACTCACAAGAAATGATCAAGAGGTATGCGAGGAGCTCAACATGAGATTTAAGGAAGTATTTACAGTAGAGATAGGAAGGGCTCTGGGAAGACAGCACAGAGGGGAACACCAACAGGGAATAGACCAACAACTGCTGGATGATATGCACACAACTGAGGAGGAGGTGAAGAAGCTGCTAGGTGACCTTGATACCTCAAAGGCAATGGGACCGGACATCTCCCCGTGGGTCCTCAGGGAGGGAGCAGATATACTGTGTGTGCCATTAACCACAATCAACACATCCCTTGAAACTGGGCAACTACCTGATGCATGGAAGACCGCAAATGTAGTTCCCATTTTTAAAAAAAAGGAGACAGAAAAGAAGCACTAAATTACAGACCAGTGTCACTGACGTGTATAGTATGCAAAGTCATGGAGAAGATTATCAGGAGAGTGGTGGAGCACCTGAAACGGAACAAGATTATAAACGACAACCAGCACGGATTCATGAAAGGCAAATCCTGTGTCACAAACCTTCTGGAGTTTTATGACAAAGTTACAGAAATAAGACACGAGAGAGAGGGGGGGGTTTTTCATTTTTTTGGACTGCAAAAAAAGGCCCTTCGAAAAAGTTCCTCACAAGGACTAGTGCAAAAAACTAAAGATCAGCGCGTATAACAAAAAGGGGCACGCAATGGATCAGAAAATATCTGACGGGGAAGGCAACAACGAGTCATGTACGGGATGAGGTATCACAGGGGGAACCTGTACGAGGGGGGTCCCCGGGGATCGGTCTGGACCTTGTTTTTTCTGGTAAATTGGAATGCATGATGGAAGGGTAGACTTAGAGGTGTCCCTTGCAGATTTGTGAATTTAAAGAGGGGAATTAAATCAATAGGATAGGCAAGACTTCAAAGAGACCTGACAGGTTTGACACCTGGTCCCGCAACTTGGCTTCTTGATTCAACCCCGCCCAAAAGCAAAGCAGAAGACGGGAAGGGGAAAAAAGACCGCAGGGCAGAGTGAGCTAGGGGGGCCAAAGACTGCAACCCTCGCTAAAGGAGAAAGATCTTGGGGGTGACCATAACCCCGGGACATGTCTCCGAGGCACACATCAACCAAAAACGCGCAGCATGGGGGCCGCCTGGAAAACCCTGAGAATGCGTTCGATGCCTTAGAAAGGGAAAACTTTTCAGACACTGTACGCTGTGAAACATCAGGCCCATACGGGAGTATGCAGCGCCAGTTTGGAACCCACACTTGGTCAAGCCCCATCAAGAATTTAAAAGAAAGCGAAAAGGGTTTTGCAAAAAAGGCATCCGGAGCTCAGGGGTTGTCCTACGAAAAGGTTGGGGGGAAATCGGACTGACGCACTGGAGGAAGGAGGGTCGGGGAGACATAAAAAAAACGGACATCAAAAAATTGCGTGGAATAGATAAGGTGGACAGAGACAGGTTGTTCAAGAGGGGACACAGAAACAAGGGGTGCAATGGAACGAAGACTCAGACGAGTCCAGAGGATGTTAGGAATTCTCAGTCACGGGTCATCTTAGAGGTGGACCTTGCAAGATAAGTGAAGTTAATGAAAATAAATTTAAGAGAGGATCAGGCAGGAACTTCAAAGAGACTGGACCAGTTAGACACTGGTCCAGCAAACTGGTTCTGTGATTCAACTGCCAAATGCAAAGTCATGAAGATCGGGAAGGCAAAGTAAGACCGCAGACAGAGTAGAGGCTAGGTGGCCAAAGACTGCAACCCTCGCTCAAGGAGAAAGATCTTGGGGTGACCATAACACCGAGCATGTCTCCGGAGGCACAAATCAACAAATAACTGCTGCAGGCATATGGCGCCTGGCAACCTGAGAATACGTTCGATGCCTGTAAGGAATCGTTCAAGACACTGTACGCTGTGTACATCAGGCCCATACTGGAGTATGCAGCGCCAGTTTGGAACCCACACTTGGTCAAGCACATCAAGAAATTAAAGAAAGCGCAAAGGTTTGCAACAAGGCTAGTTCCGGAGCTCAGGGGTATGTCCTACGAGGAAAGGTTAAGGGAAATCGATTGACGACACTGGAGGACAGGAGGAATAGGGGGACATGATAACGACATATAAAATACTGAAAGGAACTGACAAGGTGGATAGGGACAGGATGTTTCAGAGATGGGACACAGCAACAAGGGATCACAACATGAAGGTGGAGACTCAGATCAGTAACAGGGATGTTAGGAAGTATTTCTTCGCTCACAGAGGTGTCAGGAAGCGGAACAATCTGAAGAATGATGTAGTGGAGGCATGATAGAGCGGAGATATGATAAAGCTCATGGAGCAGGGAGAGAGTGGACCTAGTGGCGACCAGCGAAGAGGCGGGACCAGGAAATGTGAATCGACCCCTGCAACAACAAACAGGCGAGTACATATAGGCAAGTACACACACACACACACACACACACACATCTCTGATACTAAACTCTGCTGTACGAAACTTAACTAATGAACTAATGAAAGAATTATTTTCTAACAAACGACAATAATATTCACTCGCTCGCTGTCAGGCTTCCTGCTGGTGGGAATGGCGGCTCCTGAAGACACTTTAGCCCTCCTGCTGGTGGTGGCTCTCTGGCCACTGCTGCCGCCCCCGCCGCTCACGTCACTGTCACCTCCCCGTCTCACACCCTCGCCAGGACTTCCCACTTCCCCGGACTCTTCCAGTTCAAGAGCGTCACAGTAGAATTCATTCACCAGCCCGTCTGTCACCTGGAAAGACAAACGTCGGGCGAGGTTTGTCTTTGTATTTCCACGTCCATCTGAGGTCCCCTTCAGCAGATATAAGATATAGGAAAGAGGCTGGTTTATTTAGCGAACAGACGTCAAATGAAGATGTGTGGTGGTCCATCGTTGTGCGGGCAGAGCTAAGTTAAAGTCGTCAAGTTGTTTTTTTAACATCACAGGGTGTTACTAACATAAGAGGGTTTTACTAACATCACAGGGTGTTACTAACATCTCAGGATGTTACTAACATCACATAATGTTACTAACATCACAGGGTATTACTAACATCTCAGGACGTTACTAACATCACAGGGTTGAGATTCATGTAGTTCCTGAAATATCCGATATGTTTCACTGTATACATGAATTTAAACCTGGTGCCGGAATGTGAAGTTTTTAAACAGGAATTTAGTAATCATATCTGGTTTTCAGTGAACTCTGGAAATGATGAATTTTTTCTCTCTGACTTGGTTAAGGAGGCAGATGATTCACCTGATTACACCGGTGAACAACTCACTTGGACGTCTAGGTGATGCTGCAAGTTTTGGAGTGTGAGAGATGGGTGTGCCCACTCAGCACGGTACTGATTTACCTGGTGCAACAGGTGCTGCTGAGCTGCAGCAGCCTCCTGCACCTTCACCTTCACCTTCCCTCCCTCCAGCTCCACCTGCAGAGATACCAAAGTCAACTCACTGTATTACATAAGGAAAAATACTTAAGCAGTAAAGTACAGTACATCAGTACACTAAAACAGTGCAGTACAACACGGTACAGGGAGGAAGTACCTTGCCTGGGAGGTGGTTATATTGTCACAACGGACTTACATATGAGGAAGTGGGTGACAGGGGATACCTTGTCCAAGGGGAAGTAAATTTGCCCATGAGGTATGTAACCTGACTGGAAGGTGACTACTTAATCCATAAAGTGTGTACCTTACCCGGAAAGTGCAAGTGTGCACCTTGCCCAGAAGGTGTGAACCTTACCTAGAAGGTGCATACCTTGCCCAGAAGGTGCATACCTTGCCTAGCAGGTGCCAGAGCTGAGTCTCCACCTGTTCCACGGTGATGCTGGACGGTGGCACCGTGATCTCGTCCTCGATTTCCTGGTCTCGCTGGTCGTCTCCTGTCTCGTGTTCTCCATTCTCTCGCAGGGGGATGGTGTGCTCCGACTTGTAGGCTGTAAGCTGCAAGAACCATACCCTTAACCTCTGTGTGACACACCACCGACACACCGCTGACACACACCGCCGACAATCACAACTGACACAAACCACAGAAATGCCACTGACACACCAGTGACATACCACTGACACATACCACTGGCACATACCAGTGACATACCACTGACACATACCGCTGGCACACACCAGTGATATACCACTGACACATACCACTGGCACACACCAGTGACATACCACTGACACAGACTTCAGTTCTTCACCAAGTGAAGGGCTGGAACCTGTGTGTCAACTTAGTCAAATACATATTTAGTATCTGAGATTGCCAACCTTTAATAGTTGCCAAGAATTTTGTTCTTCACCAAAGTCTTCACTGATAACTCCAGAATGTCTCATCCGATCAGCTTTAAATTTTCAACTTTACTGTTGCAAGCAGGAGAACACTTTTTCAGCAGCTGTTTGCATGTTAATGAATGAAACATGTGCAACGTTTAGGTATCTTAGTAGACGTTTGGCCATCCAGTGACTTGCAGTGCAATACAGAGATATACAGTAAGACTCCCGTATCCTCGGGGGACACGTTCCAACAACCTGCCCTGGACACCGAAACCGTGGATAGTAGCAAATCTTATATATAAGTCCTTTACATACCTATTATAAAGTTTAACTGATAAATTCTGCACAATAGGTATAGAATTATTACTTATTCACTGATGGGAAGCACTTCACAGCTTCTTTAAGGCTTTGAAGAATTGCCAGCTTGGGCGCTTTGGCACCATTATTATGCAAAATTAAGAGGTATTTTTGAGCCACAGTAAACAGTGGATTACTGGAACCGTGGATACCGAATCAGGGGATAAGGGGATCCTACTGTAAATGGTAGTGTGTGGAAGAGGAAGCAGTCAGTCACTCAGTCTCGCCGCAGCATCATGTACGGGAGACATTAGGAGGTGAGGCTGCACATGTGTGTCCGTAGCTCGATTGCTAGCGCACTCAGGTCACACACTGAGGTCCTTGGTTCGATCCCTAGTACGGATGGAAACATTAGGACGTGTTTCCTTAAGACACCTGCTGTCCATGTTCACCTAGCACTAAATAGGCACCTGGGCGTTAGTGGACCGGTGTGGGCCGCATTCTGGGGATAAAATTGACCTAATTTGCTCAAAATGCTCTGCATAACAAGGGACTTGTTATATAGAGTGGAACCTTGGTTTTCGTTTCTAATTGGTTCCAGAGAGTCGGACGAAAACCAAATTCGACGAAAACTAGAGCAATATTTTCCATAAGAAATAATGTAAATCCAATTAATCCGTTCCAGAACACAAAAGTATTAACAAAAATACATTTTATAGAGAATAACTATAGTTTTACATACAGAAAACAATGAGAAATAAATATGATTAATTTTAATGGATAAATTAACATTTAGATCACTATTACATACCTTTATTGAAGACTTGTTGACGTATGGAAGACGGCAAGGTAGGGAGAGGGAGAATTTATTGTTTGGAAGGGGAATCCCCTTCCATAAGGACTTCAGGTATCAAGTCCCTATCCAGGTTCTTCCCTTCTTTGTCTTTTACTGGCACTAGGACCAGCTTGAGAGTCATTGTACCCCTGTCGCACAAAAAAATCTATCCAGAGAGGTCTGTTTCTGGCATCTCTAAGATTTGCCTAAAATGGGACATGGCATTGTCATTGAACATATTGTAGACCCGACTTGCAACAGCTTTGTTAGGGTGATATTTCTCCACAAAACTTTGCAACTCACTCCACTTTGCACACATGTCCTTAATCACTGAAGAAGGCACATTCTTCCCTCTCTCTTCCTCCTCCTCTGAAGCAATTTCCTCAGCTGTGGTCCGTTGCTGTTCCAGATGAAGGTCTTGCAGCTCTTCAGTGGTTAGCTCTTCCTTGTGGTCGTCCACCAACTCGTCCACATCCTGGCCACTCACATCCAACCCCATGGGCTTCCCCAGTGCCACAACAGATTCCACAACAGGTGTAGGGTTGTCAGGGTCAGCCTCAAATCCTTCAAAATCCTTCTCTTGGAAACTTTCTTTGACCCCATGGTGGCTTATTTAGCAGTCGCACTCAGTATACAAGCTCATAAAGCAATGAATTATTACGAAATGTTTCATATGGATGCGCACAGGCGTGGGCAGGCAGACGCGTCTGGGACGGCCGACGTAAAGCGAGGTGACAAAACGCGTCTGGGACGGCCGACGTAAAGCGAGGTGACAAAACGTGTCTGGGACGGCCGACGTAAAGCGAGGTGACAAACGAAAACTAGGACAATATTTTGACCAAAAAGTCGTCGAAACCCAAATTCGACGATAACCAGGGCAAACGAAAACCAAGAATCCACGTCCAGTAGGCCTGCTGCAGTGTTCCTTCTTTATTATGTTCTTAAAAGACTTATGTAGTAGTATGCCATGTTTAATAATAATAATAATATCTTTATTTACTACAAGTACATGTAGGAGGTATACAGTCCTAGGTTGGTTTGCGTGCAGCCAGCAGCAACAGCCTGGTTGATCAGGCTCTGATCCACCAGGAGGCCTGGTCACAGACCGGGCCGTGGGAGCGTTGACCCCCGGAACTCTCTCCAGGTAAACATCAATAACATACTACTATATAGAAAGCCCCTTGTTATGCTGAGCATTTCGGGCAAATTAGGTCATTGTCCCAGGATGCGACCCACACCAGTCCACTAACACCCAGGTACCCATTTTGAACTGATGGGTGAACTGGGACAGGTACAGCCGTGTCTTATGGAAACACGTCCCTAATGTTTTGCAGCAATACCAGAGGAGATTCAAACCCCGAACCTCAGTGTGCGAGCTGAATGCACTAGCGATCGAGCCACGGGACACCTAGGCCTGTATACCTTGTACATGTACTTGTAGAAAATTAGATTATTATGTGTCTAATACATTAATCTGTCGGCACTGTATACCAGTCGCACTTTTGGTTTCTGTGCAATAACTATAAAAGATCTCTTAATTCTGTACACTGTTATCTGGTACTCTTATCATGCTTATTACTTCGTTGTGATGATGGTGGCTTTGAGGGGACTTGAACTAGAGCTCGCCACGGCCACACTAGCGGGAGATTCATCTGTAAAAACTTGACCTGGCCTGGTGTGTATTACCTAGGCTGACCTGCCCTGTTGTGGGAGTTACCTGGGCTGACCTTGCCAACTCGGTGGCGCGGTACTGCTGGAGACGCTTAAGGGCAAGACGACGCCACTTGATGTCACCACCAACGTCCAGCTTAGACTCAGAAGTCACATCTGTCCCGCCTCTCACTGTTGATCCCAGGCGATCCACCACCTCCCGTACCTGTAGCAGCGGTAGTAAATAGTAAGTGTAGTAGTAGTAGTAGTAGTATCAGTAACAACAGCAGCTTTGGCAGTAGTAAAGGTGATAGTAGTACTGATATAAGTACCAGCAGAAGAAATAATAGTTGTAGTCGTAGCAGCAGTAGTTGAAGCAGTAATAGCAGAAGTAGTAGCAGTAATAACAGTAGCAGTAGTAGTAGTAGCAGCAGGAGCGCTAGTATTAATTGTTGTGGCCTTAGTAGCAGCAATAATAGTAATTAAAGAATAGTAAAAGTAGTAGTAGTAGTAACATTAATGCTAGTAGTAACAGCAATAGCAGTAATAATAACGTCACTTTGACCGGGCCGCGGGGGTGTTGACCCCCCAAAACCCTCTCCAGGTAAACTCCAGGTAGCAGTGGTATTAACAGTTGTAGTAGTTGTAGTGGCAGTAACATTAGTAGCAGCAGCAATAGTAGTACTAGTAGTAGTAACAGCAGGAGTAATAGTAGTAGTAACAGTAATATTAGTTAAATTATCTTTATTTCATGCAGTACATACAGTATAAACACACCACACGTCACATACACGAAACTAAATGACACTGCACAATCATATCTCGGCTAGTTAATTGATTTTGTAACCAAATTTATTCTAGTAGTAGTGGTGGTGGTGGTAGTAGTAGTGGTAACAGCTGCAGCAATAGTTGTAGCAGTAGTAGAAATAACAGTAGCGTATATAAGTGCAAATTCTATTTTAGAAGTTTTTGCATATGAAAACAAATAAGGTTCTAATGTAGCCGCTAATGATAATCATGTTAGTGGAAAGTGGACTTGAGTGCCCCCAAGTCTTCTTTCACATTTTTTATGGCACCTCGACCGCCAATACCAGACCCCCATTACCTTGTCCTGTTAAATGGTGAGCAGTGGTCGTATCTGAATGATATCGACCATTATAGTTGATACTTACCTGAGTGCAGACTCAGACTTACGTCCAGAATGTCCGCTAATAACACCTAATTCAGTCTCACTATTCTCTCACGAACTTCACTGACTAGACGTTTGAATACACGTCCGATTCGAGGCTAGGATTCGATACGGCGTACGCTGTCAGTGGCCCTATAAACCCCAACAAACAACAACAATTTTAAGCTGGTGGAGCACGTTAACCCAGTTTACCCAGGCATAAATTGCTCAGCTATCAAAACTTTGGAGTCCAGTCCCTGGACCAATTATGTACCTCTGTAATCTTTTGACTACCGCCCACAGGATGGGTATGGGGTGCATAATAAACATATTAAACTAACCCAGGCTCTCCCTCGCAGAAGACACAGCGGTGTGCCTTACATGGCCTCAAAACCAAGACTGCCTGCATGGAATTTCAAAACGATCCGTTTATAAGAGCCAATACTGACAATAAGGAAAACCAATTAAGTGCTTTTAACTTGTGAGAAGAGCAGTCACTATGACAATCATGAAGTCAAAGTTATAATGTAATAATATATCTTTATTTACTACAAGTACATGTACATGGTATACAGGCCTAGCTGACATCAATGACATACTACCATATAAAAAGCCGCTTGTTATGCTGAGCATTTCGGGCAAATTAGATCATTTTTTGGTCCCAGGATGAGACCCACACCAGTCGACTAACACCCAGGTACCCATTTTACACTGATCGGTGAACAGGGGCAGCAGGTGTCTTATGGAAACACGTCCTAATGTTTTCCAGCCGTACCGGAGATTCGAACTCCGGACCTCATGTGTGAGCTGAATGCGCAAGCGATCGAGCTACAGGACACCTGAGGTTCTGAGAGCTGGCGAGAAAGATCTCATTTCTAACGTTGCTAGTGTCACTGTTCGACCACTTAGCTACTGAAGGTGGTTCTCAAGTCTAGTACACTATGGTGCACAAGGCAGTGAGGGAAAGACGTTCAGGTGCTAACCCGAGACTGAGCAGGTGTAAGTACTCACCTGAGTCTGGAGAGCGGCCAGGCTATCACCGTCCTCTCCCTCCTCGCTTGTGTCTCCCTCGAAGCTGAAAAAAAACAAGGAGAGCGGATTTCTTATTTAAACATAGAACAGAGCAGCAGTGTGTTGTTGTTCTACGCTGTAGGGTAGTTAGCTATGTTTTCCTATTAGTGCGCCTCGGCTGGGAAACTAGACAGGAACCCAACCCACTCATGAAGGATGAACATGAGATTCCAATCCACTCATGAAGGATGAACACGAGATTCCAATCCACTCATGAAGGATGAACATGAGATTCCAACCCACTCATGAAGGATGAACTTGAGATTCCAACCCAGTCATGCAGGACGAACATTACTGTAGCAGCTAACCCAGTCACCCAGGAAGACTTAACACCCGGGTATATAGTGTGAGATCTTCATCCGTGCTGCGCCACACAGTGTGGAAACCCGAGCATAGCACAATGATGCCTGTAAATCGCATATCTCATTTCAGCTTTATAGTAGACACAAAATGCTGGTATTAATTCATTATGTATTGTTAAGCAAGTTGCATGTACCTCTCATGGGACAGAGGCGAGATCCCTAACGCAGAATGGCACTGTTCAGGGAAGCGGTAACATTGAAAGTAAGAGATAATAGAATAATAGATTATACAATGGAGACATTGAAATGGATATGGAGTGATGTGATGGAGGAGGAAATGGAGAAACAGAAGGAGAAATGGAGTGGTGAGGCGGAAGTTGAAAGGTGTCAGGAAGTATTTCTTCAGCCTGAGGATGAAATAGGAGTGGAGGCAACCTTACATAGTTCCTAGCAAGACAGGACATAAGAGGCCAAAAAGGGATCAGCCGGGCTGTGGTTCGTACGTTGGACTGCGTGCGGTCGGCAGTAACAGCCTGGTTGATCAGGTCCTGATCCACCGGGAGGCCTTCTCGTGGACCGGGCCGCGGGGGCGTTGATCCCCGGAATAACCTCCAGGCAACCATGTAATTATTGTTCAGAACAGAGTTCTGAACAATAATTACATGGTGTGGATAATGATAAGAGAGTGAATAATACAATAGGTTACCTGAGGGGTGAGTGTGCCGAGGTGGGTGTGGTGAGGCGGGCTACTCCAGGTTGTCTACCCTCCGTGGTAGGTTGATGCTGTCCAGCCTGACCCTGCTGCCTATCACCTTCCGCTGACCCATCCCTGCAACACAACACTAACTCACACCTGTAACACAACACAAACTCGTAATGCGACACTAATTCACATCTGCAATATAATACTAACTCCCTTAACACAGCACAATACACAATTTCCACCTGAAACTCCAATAATATGCAACCAGCTGTCATTACACCTAACCAGGTCACCAGTCCACTTATTCAAGACAATAGTTCACCTACAACTGAATTTCATCTGCCAGTGCAAAACATACTTAGGAATTTCAATACAAAAGTAATGGGAAGGTATAAACGTGGTGTCAGTGAGTCAATTTCAAATTTGTTGTCATTTAATACTTGTATATTCTATGAGAGCAATTTTGCTTCCTTGAACTATGCAATTGTGAGTTAAAAGTTCATATTTTTTTTAATTATTGTAATTGTCACATGCACAAGGCGACTGGTTTTTGATAAAGCGTGGCGCATGTGTGAGACTCAGGGAGAGTACTTAAGTCAGTACCTGACCAGCCCGGCTGTGGTTCGTACATTTGCTTGCGTGCGGCCAGTAGTAACAGGCCTGGATCCACCGCGAGGCCTGGTCACAGACCGGGCCGCGGGGGCATTGACCCCCGAAACCCTCTCCAGGTATGACAGGAGGAAGATATGGGGCGCTGCCTCCCTCCCACAGCCAGGTTTTGGCTGGTAACAGTGGGGGAGAGAACATGTTTCTGGAGAGTTAGTATTGTGTGTCTGGGTAGTTAGCCTGAGGTAGAGTGTGTGGCATCGAGGTGGATGTTTAGCTTCTCGTGTAGCTGATAAATTAGACACATGTGCAACTCTTGGGTATCTTTATTGAGGAAACGTTTCGCCACACAGTGGCTTCATCAGTCCATACGTAGGAGAAACTTGAAGAACAGGAGGAGAATGAGGTAATCAGTCCCTCAACCTTGAGTCGATGTGTTCAGTCCATCCAGTTTCTCCTACGTATGGACTGATGAAGCCACTGTGTGGCGAAACGTTTCCTCAATAAAGATACCCAAGAGTTGCACATGTGTCTAATTTATCAACACGTCGGTTCTCTGAACCATTCATCTACAAATTCTCGTGTAGCTGCTGGAATCTGACTGTACCAGGACAGTGTTCTGGCTACGTGATGGTAATTCATAAGTAATGTCTTAACCTGCTTTGAGCCATGAATATTTTAACATGTCCTGTCATCAATCATTCGTTGTCCTATTTCTACTTATACTTTTTTTTTTTATACCCTCATGTGTTTGCCTTTTATCCTTCACTGGGCCGTGAAGATACCAAAAAGGGAAGGCAGTGACTGTCTTCAAGTGGCTTCTCTGATATCATAAAAGGAACTTATATATTTGACAGCACAGACTCAGCAGAAGATTAATAAAAAACAAGGGCAAACAAGTAAGGAAGGGGGAGGGGAAGAAAGATAAAAAAAAGTGGGCAGCATCACTTAGAAGTGACAATAGCTGGTTTGATGCACCAAATGAACAAGGAATGGAAAGGGAGTTGAATACTCTGGATAGAAATTGTGAAAATTACTTAAAAAGCAAGGAATGAAAGCTTGAGGTGTGAGGAAAAACTACCACTAAAGAAAGGCCAAAGACTAAGGTGAAATAAGAAAGGTGAAGGAGGCTGTGGAGAAAACGAGAGAAAGGGTGGAAGTGGCATTGAAAATGATGAGGGGAAATCAGAAGGAGCAAAGGAATGAAGGAGAGAATATTAAGAAAAAGACTAAGCAGAGATGCTCACAGGATATCGGGAGACGCAGGAGGTGAATAAAGACAAGGAAACTGGTGATAAAACAATCAGGTTGGGAAAGCAACATGAGGAAGAAAAAGGGAAGTTACTGATCTATAAGTTTGATAAAGCTCATGACAGGTCAGGAAGGAGATGGGAAGAGGATGAACAGGAGAAAAAAGAGCAATTAAAGCAGATGGAAAATATTCAGAGAATCTGACGAACGATGCCCAAACTAAGCCAGTGGTCAGGATCTCGAGATGAAAAGCGTTCCTGAGGAGTGGACCAAGTTATCTATGTGTACTTGGAGTGCACCAAGTTATCTATGTGTACCTGGAGTGCACCAAGTTATCTATGTGTACCTGGAGTGCACCAAGTTATCTATGTGTACCTGGAGTGCACCAAGTTATCTATGTGTACCTGGAGTGCACCAAGTTATCTATGTATACCTGGAGTGCACCAAGTTATCTATGTGTACCTGGAGTGCACCAAGTTATCACTCCATATGTACCTGGAGTAGGACAAAACAGAAATCGAGAAGAAACACCTGAGGCTGAAAACACACACACCTGAGGCTGAACACACATGAGGCTGAGGCTAAATATACATAAGGCTGAGGCTAGGTTGTGGAACACACCTGGGATGTGGTTCGTCGACCTCCTTGGGAACGCCACTACCTGCACGGATGACCTGTAACCAGTACTCCAGCAGCTGCCGTACCTGTAAGTGAAGCCTCGCACTTTATTACTGCCACACTGTATTACTGCTACACCTCATTACTGTCACACCTCACTCAGTTCCAGAACTGAACTCTCTCCAGGCTGAGGGACTGATTATATCATCTTTACCTCTCCACTGCTTCTGTTGTCTCCTCTCTATTCGACTGAAGAAGCCTACCGTGTAGGCGAAACGTTTCGTCAATAGAGCCAGGTGTTGCACACTTGAGCCATATTCACCTGCATAAGTCACACCTCAGCCATACTCACCTGTATAACGGTCACACCTCAGCCATACTCACCTGTATAACGGTCACACCTCAGCCACACTCACCTGCATGACGACGTGTGACTGGAAAGCCGCCCCTTCCTCTGTACCAGCGTCCTCACGGCCCTGACGAATCTGTTAACGATAGAGCACCGGTGTCACCACCATTCTACCAGTGTCGACTGCTAGTGATTGTTGACGGTCTAAGAAAATTTTCAGTTACAACGGATTCCAAACAAAACCGCTCAGACAATAGCTTATGTGTTCCTCGTGTCCTCTTGTCTGATAATAATACAGAATTTATCTATGCTGCCATGTAAGATATTTGCCAAATTCAGCATTCATCAAGTCCCAATAACACCAAGCCATCCCGCCAAAAGCTTTGTTGAGAGCACAAACCATAAGATACGTAATGTCTTATGTGCCATAATCACCCCCACGTTCATGACATTGGATGAGGTAATTCCAGAGGTTCGGTGCTCTTTGAACTCTTCCTACAACAAGTCGGTTGGCGAGTGTTCGCATTTTGCATTGTATGGGTATGACAGACATTTACCAAATGAGATGTTCTCACCACTACGACCCTACTACGATACAAATGATCTCAGTTAAGTCAAGATACTTAATACCCACTTAGTATTTTAACGTGTTCGTGAGAGTTAGTTTAATGTTTATTATGCACCCCATACCCATCCTGTGGGCGGTAGTCAAAAGATTACAGAGGTACATAATTGGTCCAGGGACTGGACTCCAAAGTTTTGATAGCTGAGCAAGTTACAGAGGTAATGAACTCACAATTTACAAAGGTAATGAACTCACAATTTACAAAGGTAATGAACTCACAATTTACAAAGGTAATGAACTCCAGGTAGGTTTAGTCACAATCATGACAGGTTACAAAGGTATTGACAGATTACAGAGGTACGTAATGGGTCCAGGGACTGGGCCCCCAAAGTTTTGATAGCTGAACAGGTAATGAACTCACAAGTTACAAAGGTAATGAATCCTGTAAGAATGGTTACTTACGTTTATACATGGCTACAATCATGAACAAATTATAGAGTAATGAGCAATTCACACTTCCACACACGGTCACAATTGTAATGAGTTATTGGTGCAAATATTGAGTCACACACACACACACACACACACACACACACACACACACACACACACACACACACACACACACACACACACACACGACACACACACACAAACACACACACACACGACACACACACACACACACACACACACACACAACACACACACAACACACACACAACACAACACAACACACAAACACACACACACAAACACACACACACAAACACACACACACACGACACACACACACAAACACACACACACACACACAAACACACACACACACAAACACACACACACACACACACACACACAAACACACACACGACACACACACACGACACACACACACACACACACACAAACACACACACACACACACAACACACACACACACACACACATACACACACAACACACACACACAACACACACAACACACACACACACACAAACACCACACACACACACACACACACACACACAAGCACACACACACACACACACAAACGCACACACACACGACACACACACACACACACACACACACGACACACACACACACACAACACACACACAACACACACACACACATAACACACACACAAACACACACACACACGACACACACACACACAAACACACACACACAAACACACACACACACACACACACAAACACACACACACACACACACACACACACACACACAAACACACACACGACACACACACACACAAACACACACACACGACACACACACATACACACACACACACACACAACACAAACACGCAACACACACACACACACAGGAGCTCGGACTCGACCCCCGCAACCTCAACTAGGTGAGTACAACATACACACACACACACAAATACACACACACACACACACACACATTGCCAGACTCACACATACACTCCCCCCCTCCCCCACCGACATCTCACTCCTTCACCTGATCCCTCCCCTCCCTCTTTCACCCTCCCCCTCCCCACCTCTCCCTCCTTCCCCCTCTCCCACTCACCCACTTGCTTCTCCCTCCTTCCCACTCCCCCTCCCCCACTACTCTCCCACATAGCCACAGTTCCTCCACTACCTCCCCCCCCACACTCTGACATACACAATACTAACCTAACATACAGAATTACATAGGTTTCCCACTCTGAGGCAATCAGGATAAAAACAAAAATGGGTTGCCAGAGAGCAACAAGAAAAACCAAGGGACAGGAGGAGGAAACTACAAAGGAAGATTGGGCAGCAGAGCTCACAAAAAGGGAACATGAATGGGAAAAGAAACTAGAAAAACTTAGCATGAGAATGGAAGAGAGGATAGACATGGAAAGCAGGAAGTGGGAGGTGCAAGTCAAAGCAGCAGAGGCCAGGATACAGAGTTTAGAAGAGGAACTGAAAAATCTGAAACAGCCTAAAGAACTAAAGAACATTTTGGGATTGACAACAGAGACTGCTACCTCAGCCACAAATAAGGGGACTGTAGGGAAAGAAGGAGCAAAACTGCATGTAGAAGCTCAATCAGTGGAGACTGTAGTAAATGAAAGAGCTAAGCTATATGTGGAGGCCCTAACAGACCACAGCAGAGCCCAGGGAAAGCCGAGAAGGGAAAATGACAGGCCACTGAGCCCAAGTACATTAACTAGTGAAACTGAAGAAATGAAAGCTGCAATGGAGGAAATCAAATTGAATGAGGGGATACACAGGGATATGCAGTGGGAGAATGAAAGGGTGAGGTCAGTCTGTGTATGGGCTCCAAGAAGTTGAAGGGGAAACATATGAAGCAAGAAAACAAGGGAAAAAAAAGCAATTGAAAACATCATGAAAGCAATAGGAGAAGACGACATGACCCAGCTGGAAAATTTTCGGAGAATAGGGGGGGGTTTGCAAAAAAAAGAACCCGGCCAGTGAAAGTGACCTTCAAGGCAGAATCGACTCGGAACAGGATCCTGCAGGAGAAAGCACGATTAAGGGACATGCCGGCATACAGGATGGTGTATCTTGGCCGCGACAGAACACAAGCAGAAAGGCAGAAACAGAGAGAGATGGTAAAAAGGCGAAAGGAGGAAAGAGAGGGGATGGAGAAGACAGACAGGAGATCCCAGACACAGAAAGATCAAATACAGCCTCCCTCACAACTTCCTATAGAAGCCTCCCAACCAGGTCAACCCCAGTGCAACCAAACACTCTAAACCAAAACACCCATGCCACATCCAATGCCCCCACCCACTGCATCACAAACTCCATCCCCACAGCAACCCCAATACACCTCCCAGACCACAGTCTTAGAAAAGAAGTTGAAGGTGTGGTATACAAATGCAGATGGAATAACAAATAAGTATGAGGAGTGGCACGAAAGAATCAAGGAGACATCCCCAGATATAATAGCACTCACAGAAACAAAACTCACCAGAATAATAACAGATTCAATCTTTCCATCCGGATATCAAATCCTCAGGAAAGACAGAGGGAGGAGAGGGGGAGGAGGAGTTGCACTGCTCATTAAAAACCAGTGGGGGTTTGAGAAAATGGAAGGAATGGATGGCACGGGCGAAAGGGACTACTTAGTAGGAACAATCCAGTCTGAGGGACATAAGGTGATAATTGCAGTAATGTACAACCCACCACAGAACTGCAGGAGGCCAAGAGAAGAATACGATGAGAGGAACAGAGCAATGGTCGACACACTAGCCGAAGTGGCCAGGAGAGCACACATGGGGGGAGCAAAGTTACTAGTTATGGGTGATTTCAATCACAAGGAGATTGACTGGGAAAACCTGGAGCCCCATGGGGGTCCCAAAACATGGAGAGCCAAGATGATGAATGTGGTACTGGAAAACCTCATGCATCAACATGTTAGAGACACTACCAGAGAGAGAGGAGAGGATGAACCAGCAAGACTGGACCTTGTATTCACCTTGAGTAGTTCTGACATCGAGGATATCATGTATGAAAGGCCCATGGGAGCTAGTGATCATGTGGTTCTGTGCTTCGACTACATAGTTGAGTTCCAAGTGGAGAGAGCAGCAGGAATAGGGTGGGAAAAAACAAACTACAAAAGGGGGAACTACTCAGGCTTGAGGAACTTCTTTCAAGACATTCAGTGGGAGAGGGAACTGACAGGAAAACCAGTACAAGAAATGATGGACTGTGTGGCAACAAAATGCAAGGAGGCAGAGGAGAGGTTTGTTCCCAAGGGAAACAGAAATAATGGGAAGAACAGAACGAGTCCTTGGTTCACCCAAAGGTGTAGGGAGGCAAAAACTAGGTGTACTAGAGAATGAAAAAGGTACAGAAGACAGAGAACTCAGGAAAATAAAGAGATTAGCCGAAGAGCCAGAAACGAATATGCACAGATAAGAAGGGAGGCTCAGCGGCAATACGAAAATGACACAGCATCGAAAGTCAAGACTGACCTGAAGCTGTTGTACAGCCACATCAGGAGGAAAACAACAGTCAAGGACCAGGTAATCTGACTGAGGAAGGGTGATGGAGAATTCACAAGAAACGACCGGGAGGTATGTCAGGAGCTCAACACAAGATTTAAAGAAGTATTTACAGTGAAACCAGTAGGACTCCAGAAATCAGAGCAGGGGGGTGCACAGCAAGTGCTGGATGAGGTACATATAACCAAGGAGGAGGTGAAGAAGCTGCTATGCGAACTTGACACCTCAAAGGCGGTAGGACCAGACAACATCTCTCCATGGTCCTTAAAGAGGGAGCAGAGATATTGTGTGTACCGTTAACAAAGATCTTCAACACATCATTTGAAACTGGGCAACTCATTGAGGTATGGAAGATGGCAAAGGGTTTAGTCCCAATTTTTTAAAAAGGGAGACAGACATGAGGCACTAAACTACAGACTGTATCACTAACGTGTATAGTATGCAAGGTCATGGAGAAAGATCATCAGGAGGAGAGTGGTGGAGACCTGGAAAGAAACAAGTGTATAATTGAAAAACCGGCATGGTTTCAGGGGGGGAAAATCCTGTATCACAAACCTACTAGAGTTT